CTGCACCTCTGTGCCCCATGCCCCGCCCTCCTTGCTCTCAGCCTGCCCAGATTTCAATCTCCAGGAAACCTCGCCTCTCGCTTTCCAGTTTCGCAATTGCCCTTGCCAAATAATAATAAAAGTTGTCTTAATTGCTCTTGACAGGTTCCCTCCTCCTTTACTTATTTTTAACCATCGTGCTCAGGAAGCGTGATTTGCGGGGCTGGTGCAGCCAGCAGCCACCCCGTCGACAGGCGTGCATGTGCGTGCCGCTCCCCTGGGCTCTGAGAAAGCAGCTAATAATTAGCTGACTGTGGGGGCTGAGGAACTGGCTCCTTGTTTGCTTTGTCTCTTCCCCGGCAGAAGAATGTTTAAACAAGCTCGAAAAGAACGCCCTTCTGGTCCCTGTGGACAGAGCGTGTTCAGGACGCGACCCATCGAGGCTGCAGAGGGCCGGATGCCGGAGGTGTGGGCCCCAGGGGTGGCCCAGAGCTGAGCTCTGGGAGAGGCCACCCCCAAGGTGTGTGCGCTGCAGAACCTGCATGTCTGGCAAGTGTGTGCCCGCCCCCAGGAAGAGGGCTGCATGCTGGTGCGTCGACCTCCCCTGGAGAATTGTGTCACCAACCTGGATTCTGATGATGAAACTGATGAGCAGTCAGCGAATTCCAAGGCTGTGTAGTGTGTGCATGCATGTGCTGGGCTGAGGGGGCGCTGGACACACACACATACAGCATCATTTGTAGTCTCCCCCCTAAATTCACCTCAGCATTAATAGTGTAGGGGAGTGCTGAGGCCCAGCGCTCCTGTGCAGATTCACAGTCTGGGAAACCTCTGTCCAGAGGCTGGGAGAGAGGATGAGCTGGCAGGAGGTTTGGACCACTTCTGGCAGCGCGTGAACTCGGCTGGTTCCCTTTCTGAGCCTCCTCCCTCACGTGTGAAATGGGAGCTTTATTACCTCTCTCTCCGGAAGACTTCCCCAGAAAAGCCAAGTGGCACAGAGCCTCTCTGTGTGCAGACAATTCGCTCCAAGGAGAAACCCCCGGATCTGCTTGTCCTGTGTGCGTTTACAGAGTAGACTGACTGACCCAGCCTGTGCTAGGTGTGGCATTTCCGTAGAGGACTTGGGCACAGTCTTTGCCCTCCTAGCCTCCACCACTGGGGATATGCACACCCTTCGACGGCGAACTGTAAAGCCACATCAGTCCGGTAATAGACCTCTTGCTCTCTCAACCCCCCTAACTTATGGAGACTGTGTGTGTGTGTGTGTGTGTGTGTGTGTGTGTGTGTGTGTGTGTGTACGAGAAAGAGAGAAGAGAGAGAGAGAGACTGTGCTCAGCAAGGTTTCCAGCAACTGATTGTTCCGAAGAAGATCACTAGATCTTTCCTCCCAGACTCCTCCGGGTTGAGTAGAAGTCCTGGCCTTTTGGTTGGCCACAGAGCGTGTGAATCATCTGGCTCCTGCAAAGCCCTTATCTGAAGGCAGCCTCCAGGAGCTCCCATCCCTCTTTCTCTGTGTGGTTGTCCCTGCAGCCACTTAACTGAGGATCGGCCTGTCTCTCACCTCCCCTCTTACGCTGTCAGCTGTGTGCTGGCACAGAGCAGCCGCATGCTGTGGGCGCCCAGGGAAGACCATGAGAGCAGCTGCCCGCAGTGCCTCACCCTCCGGGCAGATGCTCAGACCATGGGCAACCGCTGTGGTTCTCCAGCCGAGTGTGCATGAGAATCACCTGCAGGGCAGCTGAAAGAGGCCTCCAGGCTCAGTCCACAGGTCAGTAGGTCCTGGAAAGCTCTCCAAGTTCCCAAGTGATGTTGTGAGTCCCCATGCCTCACTTGGAGGACTGCAGAATCGGGGTGGCCATCACAACTCACCTAGTGGGTGGGTAGGTGGAGGGTGTACTGAAGGAGAGAGCGAAGAGCAGAGCTCATAGACGCAATTGCATGGCCCAGGTGAGAGAAATCGCAGCGCTAAAGGTGGTGGGTGTGGGAAGAGAGGGGTCCCTGACACAGGTGGCAGTGGCGTTCTGGGCGAGGTGAGAGGTTGGGTATCAGAGCCACTGAGGGTATGGCAGTATCCTGGCCGATCGGCGTGGGGGTCGGGTGTGAGAATCCGGGGACCCCTCTTGGGAGTGGTGGACTTGGCACTCCGTGGTGACCTGCATAGGGAAATGTACAAGAAGCCGGCAGAAACTAGGGAGAGAAAACTGAGTTGCAGGTACCGATTTTGGAGTTGTTGGGATACGGTGTCAGCAGGAGCTGGGATCGGTTAAGGGTGACTAAGAAAAGAGGTTTTGGGTGTGAGCCCAGAAGGAAGCCCCGGAGCCCCTTGCTTGGAAGGCTGGGTGTAGAAAGAGTTCAGTGTAAAGGGAAGGGGAAGAAGATGTCCCAAGAAGGGGCCATATCAGATGTAGAAGCATTTCACAAACTGAGGCAAACTTCTGATCAATTCTGGGGACCCTTAAAGGGACCACGCCCTAGAAGAGGGATTGTAATTGAGACGTGAATTAGGAACACTGGTCTGCAAAAGTTCAGGTGGTCTTTGGACTCCTTGATTTACTTTGCTTATGCAGATACAGTGTTATTTTGCCTTGGGATAAAGTAGCTTTATGGTTCTCACATGGCACAGGTGGAACATGATGAGTATACACGTGCTTATGCATACATGGGGCACAGTAGCCGTCCACACAGCGAGCTGTCTCAGAGAAAACCCCTGGTGAACAACATGGTAGCTCACGATGAAACTGGGAGCATGTCCCCTCCCTCTTCACCAAGCTTTGCAGCCCTGGATGGTGAAAATGGTTAACACACTCCATTTTGGGGTTGCTAACCGAAAGGTTGGAGGTTTGAGTCTACCCAGTGACACCTTGGAGAAAGACCATTAATATAAGCAGGGTCACCATGAGTCAGAATCAACTCAGTGGTGGAAGTAAGCCGAACTCCAAGGAGAAAAGAGAATGCATTCATCTCTTTTTTGCCTTTGGGTTTGATACTGACCGGGGCCCTCCTGAGACCTTGAACCCACTGATTTTCCAAGATAGAAAGGATTCTGCCCATTTCTTTTGGGTTGCCCCACTCTTGCCTAACTCTCCCTGGGTAAGAATGTGACAAAGAATCCGTTTCTATGGACTGAGAACACCCTCCCCACCCCAGATGGCGTGTTGCCATTTCATAGATGCATAGTTGGCTTGCTAACCTGCGGTGTTTGTTTCATCATCTATGTTTTTCTAAGATGAGAATGAATTCTCTTACTAAGAATAAAACCAAACCCAATACCAGCAAGTTGCATCTGACACACAGCTACTCTAGATAAGGTTTCCAAGGCTTTAAATCTTTCGGGGGACAGACAGCCTCATCTTTCTCTCTCTGAAGAGGCTGTTGTGTTGGAACCATTAACCTTGCAGTTAGCATTCCATCTCTTACCTACCAGCGCCACTCTTTTGAATAAGGATAAAGAGCCCAGCTCACAGCATTGTTCAGCTTCTCCGGCTACCAGCAGCGGGGCACACTGACTTGTGTCTGTCTTTGCAGTTCTGTTCAGAGCTCAACCAGCCAGTCCTGCCCAACATCCGCAAGTGGAAGGGGCCCCGGGGATGCTGGAAGGCCGTTGTTGCTGAGAAGCCCTCTAGTCGGCTCCAGAAGGTACTGTCCTGGGCAGAGCCCAACCGTTCTTTTCTTTGTACCTGGACATGCTTCCTCCCTAACCCAGGGGCATTTGTCTATCTTACTTTGCCTATGTCCTTGATGCAGTTTGTGTTCCTGCCTGTTGTTAACATCCCTGCTCTTCCTTTCTCCGTGCCCTGGTTCGTGGGTGGTGTTCAGATGGAGAGCGAGCACAGGAGTGTGGGGAGGAGAGGAGATGTCCCATCAGGGGCTCAGGCAGCAACTTTTATCCTCTATCTCCATGATTCCTTTGTCACTGTCATTGCCTGAGAACTTCCAATTCACCTTAATTCAGACGTGAAGCTTGTGCTACGATTGCACATAGGAACATCCTGTTGGCTTTCTCAACCCCTTCCTGCTGGGAGTGTGCTTTTGTCGGGTTCACCCACAGGGATGGGGGTGACTCCAGTGTAGGAGCACTTTCACTCCTGACAAAGACTGGTTTTCACTCACCCTGGAATTTGCAGTGTCATTAGGGTTTGAGATTTTTAAAAATCGTGAGTTAAAAAATATTATCATCACATAGTTTTCCAAGAAATGTATATAATGTGTTAGATTTAGTTTGGGAGCTCAGGTGGTGCAAGGGTTAAAGCACTTGGCTGCTGAGCAGAAGATCAGTGGTTCAAACCCACCAACTATATATAAGGTAGAAAGATGTAGCAGTATGCTTCTGTAATATTTGCAGCCTTGGGAACCCTATGGGGCAGTTCTGCTCTGTCCCCAAGGGTTGCTATGGGGTGCTTGGACCCGATGGCAGTGGATTTGATTTTTTATACCTAGTATGCATCAGACCTGAGCTGTACTCATGTATACATAACCTAGACTTAGTTAGCTAAGGGTCTCCTAGTGGCATAGCGAATTATGAAGCAGGCTGATCACTGACTGCAAAGTTAGCAGTTCAAATCCACCAGCCACTCTGAAGGAGTGAGATGAAGCTTTCTGCTCCTGTAAAGATTTACAACCTCAGAAACTCTATATAGCATGGCTATGAGTCCCAATCGACTCGCCAGCAGAGTCTGCTTTATGATGTGTTTAGTTTATTTAGTTCAAAACTACAAATGGCTGTTATTGATCAACTGGGCTTCAACACTTACGTATAAGGGGACCTCAAAAAGTTCATGGCAAAAGGAACTTAAAAGATAAAACGGGATCTGTCCATAAGCTTTTATCCTGTATACCTGACCATAACCTTTCTGGAGACACAAGTAAACCCATGTCAGCTGGGGGTCTACGGAATTGTGTGTTACATAATTTCTGCATCTAGTAATTGGTAGACATTCCTAGTAATTATACCTCGTCTTGACAAGGAGCCTCAGGGTAGTGCCAAACGGTTAATGTGCTCAAGCGCTTCCTGGGACGTTTGGTGGCTCAGGTTCACCCAGAGAGTGGCACTTTCAAAGAAAGGCCTAGCCACTTGCTTTAGAAAAATCAGCCACTGAAACCCCTGTGGCATGGTCCTACTCTGACCGCCTTGAGCGAAGTTGATTCTACGGCAACTGATGCGGCCTCATGACACGGGCCCATAGCCCTGCCTTCTCGTTCTGCACAGAAATAATTACTGCCTTGCTTTTTGCTTTTCTACATGCCATCATATATGGAGGTTCCTGAGCCTTCACAAGGTTCTGACCGTTCATTCAACATGCTCCTCATTCATGGTGGACACTGTGTCATGTGTAGGACATTCGTTGCTGAGAAAGATAAACCAGAGGTCCACCCCTGCTTAACTTTCACTTTTTACAGGCCCCTTTGGGGATTCCAACGTGAACTTGATGTGTAGCCCCTTCCCTCCAAGAGCCTGATGGAGGGACAGGTCAGGTAACCCTACTCAAAATCAAGCCATTTAAACATAGCCTCGATTCCTCAGTGGGTACCATGGCGGCTGTAGAGCAGCGGCGAACTGAAAGAGCAATGGTTTGAGCTCAGCCAGCAGTTCCGTGGAAGGAAAGACCTGGCCGCCTGCTTCTAGAAAGTCTTAGCCCTCTAGGGCTTCTGTGAGCCAGAGCCACCCAAAGGCACCCACCCACAGCCCCTTCCTCAACTTCCCTGATGACCACAGTGGAACCCCTCATTCAGTGGGCCTCGGGGCGCCGTGGAAGGTTGGTGAGTAACACCATAAACTGCAAAGCCGAATCGATTCCGACTCGTGCCAACTCTCTAGGAGAGAGTAGGACTGCCCCGCTGGGTCTCGAGGCTGCCCATCATTCCAGGAACTGGAAAGCTCCGTGTTTCTCCCTCGGAGCAGCTGGCGGGTTCAAACTGCTGAACTTGGGTTTCCCAGAGCGCCACTAAGATCCTTGAGTGGCACCATGAGTCTGTTAATCTGGCATCGTGTCTGGGAAACGGTGCCTGAGAGGTAGCCTTTCCGAGTGCACAGGGCAAAGCACACTTACCTGCTTTTGCACCTGGGAGACTGAGGTTGAGACCAGCGGAGGGGCTCCCCCGAGGTCCCAAGACTTAGCGCACGGCTCTTCTTCTTTCTCGAACAAGTGCGCACTCCCAGTTTCAAATACAGCAAGATGCTCTTCAGTGTTCCTCTGATAGGACGCACCCGGCCCGGCCAAGCACTCTTCTCCCACCCCTGTCCTTTTCCCAGATACACACCACCGAGGCTGAGGAAGGCTTTGATGGCCTGTAGAGTCACTGAGGCTGAAAGCAGGCCAAGGAGGAAAACATGTCCTCTAACCATGATAATAAAGTTCCCTGGGCAGCAGCGCCAAGCAGGTGGGTCCAAGCGGCTTCTCGGACGGCAGAGGCAGCAGCTGGGTCTGCCCTCGCCTGCCCCGCTCACCAGGTGGTGGTGTTATGTTGAGGTCCAAGCTAGGAAGTCAGCCGTCTGAAACCAGCCACAGAGAAGAGACCAGGCTTTCTCCCCTGGTCAAGAGAGTCTCGGAAACCCACCAGGGCAAATTCTGGCCTGCCCTACAAGGTCACTATGAGTCGGCGTCAGCTCGAGGCCAGTGAGCTTGTGCTGACTGTGTAGTAAGTCATCGCCCCGGCACCAGACACACTGTTTGTGCTAAGCATCAACTCACCAGCAAGCAAAATCCACCTCTTTGGGGGGGTGTCTTAATTCCCAGCTTTATCACTGAGCAGCTGTGGGGTTTTAGGAGAAATTCTTAACATCTCTGGGCAACAGTGTCCCCGTCTTGCAAGTGCCGGTATGAATTACATCCTCGGGGGCTGTGCAATGCTTAACAAGGGCTTCTCCGGGACCCCCTGCCCCCAGAAGAGAAGAGTGTAGGTGATCCTGGCTGTGTGAAAAGCTCTGAAATTAGCAGTGCATGGCATGGAGCTTTTTCAGTGGGGAGGAGGGGCGGTGGGGAGGCCTTGAATGTCAGGGGTTAAGGAAGAGTGGGAACTGGCTTTCCTGCGTCCTTTGTGTGCACATTTCCGCAGACCTAGAGGTAGAGCCTGCTGCTTCTCAGGCCCTCCCGCACCCTCCTGCCAAGCTCTCTCTCTCAGTGGACCTCAACCTTGTTGAAGGAGACACTGTCAGCAAGTCCCCTCTGACTGTTAGCTCCTCACCGGCTGTGTCTGCCCTCTCCCCTGCAGGGCGTGGGCTACGCAGGCTTCCTGTGGGACTCTGCCATCGGGATGGAGCTGAAAGACACCCCCTTGCAGGACAGCACGCCGGGCAATGGGCATGGACAGTCCACGCATCCCAGCCCTTACCTCGCCCACTTCAAGGTACCCACCCTCCTTGTGGCCCACGGCAACCCACCTCTTGTTCCCACCCTGTGGGTGACTGGCAGTCCTCGTTCCGACATTCACATCTCGTGCTCCGTGTGCCCCCAGCACAATTTACACTCTCAGACACAGTGCAGGGTTGCTATGAGTCTGGTGGCTCAGAGCCACCAGCTGTTCAGTGGGAGAAGGATGTGACTTTCTGCTTCCTGAAAGAGTTACCGTCTCAGAAACCCACAGGGGCATTTCCACTCTGTCCTGGAAGGTCACTCGGAGTCAGAGTCAACTGGGTGGCAGTGAGTGATGAGTGGGCATCGGCTTGATAGCAGTGGGGAGGGGGGTGTTCCAGAGGAGCCCTGGCAATGCTGGGGGGTAGGCAATGGACTGCTAACTGCAGGGTCAGTGGTCCAAGCCCATGAGTGTGCTCCTGAAAAGATTTGCAGCCTCGGGAACCTTGTGCAGGCTTGCTACAGTCAGGATCACCCCCTGGCATGCGGTTGGCAGTCCGCAGGAGGCGGTACCAAGAGCTAAGCCCTAGGAGGCTGAGCAAAGGAAAGATTGGTGAGACCTCTGAAAATTCAGCCACAGTAACCCCTGCAGGCCTGCTCTCCTGACACACGGGTCTCCATGAGTCAAAACTGACCCCAGGGAACTGCAAAGGGTAAGTCCCGCCAGCTGCTAACGGGAAGGTTGATGTCTCGAATCCACACTGGGTACCTCAGAAGGAAGACCCACAGCCCGTCTGTAGACAGTTGGATATCCCCCCCACAGAGGGTTATAAGGAAGGGATAATTCAACCAAGGTGTAGTATGGCACCGATGAATCACACATCATTCCTCCAGTTCCTGAATGCTTCCTCCCGCCCCACTACCCTGACCCAGTTCTACCTTACAACTCTGGCGAGACCTCAGAACACACATTGGTACAGATAAGAGCTCTTGACACATGGAATTCAGGACAGATTAAACCCCTCAGGAACAGTAGTGGGAGTAGCAATATCATGAGGGTAGGGGGATAGTCAGGAAGGGAAAGAAAGGGGGAACCCATCACAAGACTGGATATATAGCCCCCCCC